ATCGATTTCGTCTGCGAAACAAAACAACGTTATTTTCAGCAGAAGCTGCACGGTTTTGTTACTATGCTGCATTTCGATCAAACTACGATTGAAAGAAAAACACATAACCTCAAATCAAATGCAAATGTAAGCATTACACAATATACTCAACAAAAATGTTGTGTGTGTATATATATATATATATATATATATATATTTCAGCCAATTTTTCCGATATAGTTGAGTTTTGAGCAGTTATAGATCACAAGCATAGTGATGAATCTTGACTGAAACTTCTGCAAAACCAAGTTCCCCTGGTTTGGACGGGAGGCAGAGGGAGAGGGTTGTCGGAGGCGGAATGAAGAACTCATCAGCCGAGCACCAAACCACATCAGTATACCTGCAGTCAAAGTGTGTACATCCATTAATACGAAAATAATGATAAATGGACAGTAAATATAAAACACTCTTTAGTGATTAATGCATTGATCCAAAGGCATACAGAAAAAACCTTATTATTTGTTTGATAATTCCATTTCCTTACCATGATTTGCAACTCAATTCCTCAAATAAAACACACACTCTACAGATTGACGAATCAACATTCAAACTACACCTAAGCAAGTCCCTTGCTTCTATCTATACATTACTCACACATTTGTACTAAAATTTACACCACACTGGTAAATTCTCACATATACGTACCGACATTGTAATTTCAACCTCACTTCTAAAAGCACTGCCTAGCACTTGTCGACCGGAGGTTGGAGTATTATGAGCTTATCTCAGCTATCCACTTTCAATGTCAGATAAGAGCAGAGAATCTCGTAAAATAATTCTCCGACACTCAAAGCAAACCCTACGGCTCTGAGGTACTTCCATTATCTGCATACATTAATCAACAACTGCAGTTAGTTGCAATCATTAACACAGCTGCAGAAAGATCTTTTACGAGTTCTATATAACGTTCTCACCATCATTGAAAATTGAAAACTGAAAAAAGACAGAAAGCAATGAGATGAAGCCGAATTCGATGAAGCAATGTTTCTCTCTGTGTATCGTTACTAATTTCAAAAATCTTCTGGACTACGTAATTTGCAAACTGGTCCTTCATCATCACCTAAAAATGAAAAAAATAAATAAATAAATAAACAACTGATTAACAAAGGCACATCCACGCTGAAATCCTTATTATATTGTTAGCCAGTTAAAAGGGCAGAAAGAATGATGCCAAGAGACATCAATTAGGTATAGATAAAGAATGTATATAGTTTATTCTTCAAACAAGGTGTTGAATAACAGATTCTCTTACCAGTAAATTGTCATTGTCTTCAAACTGCAGAAGGATCTCATCAATCAAGAACTCCCGTTCAGCAGCATCGCCAAACTCTAAACATTTCTCTACAACATTTGATGCATACTTGTGCTGGCTCCTTTGTACAATTTTCCCACACAATTTGCGGATATTTTGACTCCGTACAAGCGGTTTTCCCCTTTCCAAAACGTGCTGTAAAAGTAGATCAATTTTTTATGTTTGACAAACAAATGGAGCAAAGGGACCCAAAAATTTACTTTCAGCTCAAAATGTATTACTGTTATCTTCAAATTGCAGTTTGAACTATGCTTCAATAATGGAATCTAAGATTAAAAAAAAAAAAAAAAAAAAAAGAGTAATCAATAGATGGACGAGACAACCTCTATAGCTTAAGAGTTAAGATAATAAGATAAATGTATTGAACGAAGAACCTAATGGCTGAGAATCCTAATTCCCATTCACGAGCTCCGATCGACTCCAACCTCGGCAATTTTTGACATCAGCCTAAATAGGTTTTAAAAATAAAATCACAAAACTGCGTAACTTAATTTTGAGAACATAACGGAATTTTGGCCCTTTTATGCAGAAACCCTAACATTCCATTGAAGTAATGGAGAGAAGAAAACGGGAGTGGTGGAGTTAGAGTGAAGAGGGGAGATGGAGAGAAAAATAAATTAGAAATTATACCTCAATCGATTGAGACTGGCGGAGGCGAAGGGAAACGAACACTGGCGGTGGCGAAGGCAAACGAACACTGGCGGTGCAACGATGGTGGTGGACGCGAAAGCCAGATCGAAGAGCCAGATCAATGGTGATGGCGATGCAACGATGGCGGTGCAATGATGGTGGTGGTGGTGCAACGATGGTCTTCAATTAAAAAATGAACAAATAAAAAAGGAGAAGGAAAAAAAAGGGATTTATGAGAGAAGAAAAGAAAGGGATCGGGCATGTCTAGAAATTTTGGAGGAGATTTTTTAGTAATTTATATTATTTTTATGTTGTGACAAAATTACTTTGTCATAAGAAACCTAAATATTTGTCACAAAATAGGAACCGTCAATTTTTTAAAGATCTTGTATGTTCTATGGTGACGATTTTTCATTATTATCACATAAAATAAAGTTTATGTGACGAAATTAACCTTCATCACGTAAAATGTTCACTTATGTGACGATGTGAAATTTTGTCACAATATCCCCTTTTACTGTGACAAAATTTGGTTTCGTCACAAAAAATTGTCACATAAAATACTTTTTTTTGTAGTGAGAGAATAACTTCAAATGCAATGTGTATAAATTGTAGTCTATTGTAATCTTTTCAAAATTGTACAAACATGAAACATTAGCCAACAATGAAAAATTGCAACTAAAACACAATATATTATACGAATAAGCAAGTTTGGATGTTTTGGTATTATTCCAAAAAATCTTCTTCTTCTTCTTCTTGCATTAATTAACTTGTATTATTTTTTGGTAGAATGAAAATCACTATATTTGGTTAATAATACATTTGGAACGAGTAGTTATATTAGTTAACTCCTTTTATATTTGAATAACTGTTTCTTTCCTTTTTTAAACCAAATGTATCTTTAGACTTTATTTAAGGTAATGTATTTAATTTGGAAGTGAGCTACAAAATTCGGTTTGTATAAATGAATGATATAACAAGCTTACAGTTATTATATTTTAATTTTAAAATATTGAAAGTAAAATTGCTCTATTTCATTTTTTTTGATCTCACGATAATAGTTTTTAATTTGCATGCTTCTACGTTTGGCGTTATATATATATTTTTCTAGATTCTTATTATTAATTAGTAATGAAAATTAAAATGTATGTGCCTATGTTTGCAGATTTTGTAGTACATAGAATATATAGCGAGTGGTGCAATATATAATTTGAAAACAGAAATATTAAATCATGTACTAAAGTTTACGAATGTCGCACATAACTTAAAACATTTATCTCTCTAAAATTCCCCAACACCGAAGAACCCGTGTTCCTTCCTTCCTTTGTTTTCCAAAACTTTCTCATGATTTTTTTACGAAACCCCTCACTCAAAAATCCTAAAATTTATAAATTCGATTTTCACCCCTAATCTTTGTAAACACGGGCGACAATCAAGTTTATGTTCTATCTATAGTGAATTTTTATAATTAATTTCATATGTGGGACAACTTGTGGTTGATCTGTGGATGTTTTTGGAAATATTTTGAGAAAAAAAAAACTTAAAAAAATTAATTATTGTTTGTTAACATATATAATAAGTAATAATTCATTAAAATACTAATACATATTTGATAATTGATTGATAATTAGTTAAATATTTTTGGTTGTTTAGTTAATGTTAATAGTTTCTTATGCATGTTTAATTTTAGTACTGCTAGGGTTTGTGTGTGAATTGAGGGGAAATGAAGAATATAAAGGAGTTAGCGGGCCAGGAAGTTCGAGATCAAAGGGTGTAGAACGAGATTTTATGAATTTAGTTCCTCCCTTTTGAAAATTAACTTGTATTTTTGGTTGAAGGATAACCGTGCTAATACAATACTTTTTCGAAAGCGTTTTTGAATGTTATCGATCTCCTTCTGAATAACTACTTCCTTTCGTTTTTTAAGCACGTGTATTTCTATTGAAAGTAATGTAGTTGGAAACGAGTTAGAGAACATTCAAATGAAATAAGATTCATTTGTAGGTGGTGCAACATAAGATCTTTAAGAATTTAACTTATATTTTTGGTTAAAGGACAACCGTGCTAATACAATACTTTTTCGAACACGTTGTTGAATTTTATCTCCTTCTGAATAACTTCTTCCTTTTCGTTTTTTAAGCACGTGTCTCCATTGAAGGTAATGTATTTGAAAACGAGTTAGAACATTTGAATAAAATAAAATTCGTATGTAAGTGGTGCAACATAAGATCTTTAAGAATTTAACTTTTATTTTTGGTTAAATGATAATTCCTAATATTTTTTAACGTAATTTTGTACTTAAATTTCCTTCTATATTCGAATCACGACGTACTTTCTTTTTCAACGGCGTGTTATAAAATAAGTTATAAAATTAATCTTTTGTAATAAAAGGAATAATTATAATATAAATTATAAATTAAAATATAACCAAGTATTATTTTTCTTTTTCGGATAAAATTCGTTTATTTTTAAAATTTTGTAATTCTTTTGCGGATTCATTATAGATTAATCTTCTGTATATAAAATAGCTTTTCAGATTTTTCATACAAAATTATTCAAGGATACTGAAAAAGAAAATCTGTATCCTTGAATAATTAAAAAGAAAATCTTTTTCCATAAAAAAAAAATAGAAAAAGAAAATCTTCATAGATATATTAGGATTAATATAATATTATTTTTATTGAATTACAAGATATATTTGTAGTCAATTCTATAAAAATGCATATTAATTAATCAAACAATATTCTAAATTAGAGTATTGGTGAAAAATGGTGTGTTGTAATTAATTATACCCATAATAGATGTACTATTACAACAAAATATATATTATTATTATTTCCATACATTCATAACAATGAACAAAATACATTACCTGCCTAAACCTCAATCATATTGTGGAAAAGGAAGGTAAAGAACTTTTTTCACTAATTACAAAAGTATTTATTTTAGGAATGCTAAAAAAAAAAAGGAAGCTACTATATGATATATAATAAAAAAACAAATGCAGATAGATCTTGTACTACTGAAACCCTCCGTTAGCAGGCGAAGCAGCCGAAGAAGTGCCAGCTGTCTCATCATCGCCGCCACCGATAATATTATTCCACGGCACTTCAAAAAAACCGGCAACAACTTCTTCCTCTTGCCTCTCGGCCATGGTGTCGATGAACCAACCATCGTTCTTCATATTCTCCAACAAATCCATCGGCTCTTGCTCGTTGTCGTTAATATTATTATTGATATTAATATTATTAATATTAATATTAATATTATTATTATTATTATTATTATTATTATTATTATTATTATTATTATTATTATTATTATTATTATTATCATCCGTCGTATCGCCTAGTTTCGTCAACATCTCATCTACAAACAAGTTGAGTTCATTCAAATGAGATGTATCGATTTCATCGATACACATACCTTTCATTGCTTCTTTGATCGATTCTTGAGACTCTTTCACTTCGATAATTTTTTTCGATTTCGACAGAATCGCTTTCTCGGCATTCAGCGCCTGCTCCATGTATTTCTCCTTTGTCACCATTTTTTTGGATATTTCGAAATTCGAAAAGTTGGTGAATTTGTGGAGCCTCTCCGTAAACACTTCCGGGGAAGGCCAAAAAATAGGGTTAGCGTTGTTCGGGTTATTATCTTCTCCCCGTTTGACTATTATGCCCATCTCGATTCCGCAAAGGATCGAGAGTTCGTTCGCCTTCTTGAGCAAACTCTCTACCCTTTTTCGGAAAACTGCGTTTCTCTTGCTTTCGTTTGCGATTTGCTCATGCTTGATTTTTTTCCTTGTCATGTTTTTTTTTGTTTCTAGGGTTTAATTTTGTTTTAATCAATCATTTTTATTTATTTTGTTGGATGTATATTTATACATAAACAGATGCCATTGTTTTAGTAAGCTGGTCGTATTATATTTAATGTGGTCAACAATTTATTATTATTTTCAAGAATTTCTTTTGGATTAGAGATATAAGCCACTCCTTGATTTCCATAATGATGATTACACAATCTTTCAATTAAATTGCATTTGGTAATTCATTATACATGTCCTTAAATTAGATTGTATTGAAATATAAAACATATTTCATTTTTTTAATTAAATTAATGTTTATTAATTCATTAATTTGGTTATATTTATTTTGTAAGTAGTGGGAAATGAGAATTATGAAGCATTTCATTGTTATACCTTTTTAATATTTATAAAAGAGGTCAAAATATATTTCAAAGATTACAAGTATTCCATTAGAAAATTAAATATGGTCTTTACATGATTTGAAATAATTCAAATATTGATTATATTTCCTTTAAAATCAGATATTGGTCAGAGGATTAAAACGGCACATTAGTTATGGATGGCACAATCATTACATGAGTTTGTCATCTTTGCAAAAATGCTTTTCATATTTATTTATTTATTTATTTATTTATTTATGAGAAAATATATTTGGTTCTCTAATGGATTATTATAGTTTATATTGATTATGAGCTAAAAAAATAATATAATTAGGTTCTATAGTTCTAATAGTAGTAGTAGCTATATACATCAATGCATATGGATGCAATTAAAAAATAATATGGTTAAAATTCATTTTATTTTAATTAAAATCTATAAATATTTACCTATTTTCCCGTAACTAGTGAATATTTGAAAAACGTATATACTAAGGCGAGCTAGCGCGAAACTTGTCAAGTGTTAATGCATTTTTAAATAAATGGTATAAGTTCGATTTTAGTTCTTTAGGTTCGATTAATAAGCATGCACGTGTTTCTCGTATTTAGCAGGTTGTTAATAAAATGGTATACATTTGATTATCTTTAACGTTAGTAAAGAATTTGTATCCGGCCGGTCGATCAAAAGTTAGACGACGACCGGTACTCATTATTGCGCCACGTTGCATGTTAATTAGAAAGTTTTTTTTTTCTTTTCTTTTTTCTTTTTAATCTTTTTTCATTATTGAAGGTTGCAGGTTATGTAGATATATTTTTTTTAAAATCTTTTTAATTATTGAAGCTCGAAACTAGAACCTCGAAAAAAATTTGAAATCGAAATTTAAAGTGATTGACAGATAAATTTTTTAAATTTTGCATGTATAATCTGTAATTATTTCATCACTTTGCGCGTTGAGTAAAATTTATTGTATCATTTTCATCGATGACGAGAACTACAAGTTTGTTGTTGGTATTTCTCTCGGAAAAAAATATAATCTAAATTTAAATTTATCGAGGATTATATTGAAATATTACTGCTTCACTTTCCATGTTGATAAATTAAAGTACTAGACTTTTAAATTGAGTAATATATATTCTTAAATAAATGGCAATATACATAAGATACTGAAACTTATTGAATCACTTTGCATGTAAATCGATCAGTATTGAAATATTAGAATTGCATATATAGTTAGATTATCTGTCATTATTGAATCACTTTGCATGTTGAGTAGGTTCGTTTTACCACTAGTCATTTTTTTCTCAAAACAAAAAAAGTTTAAATCTAATAATTGATCGAGATTTGAAATATTCCAATTTTGATTTCATTTTTTTTTTGGAGAAAAAGGACCAACAGTGAACTTGTACTTCTCAACATTGATCGAAAACAAAAAAAATGTAATTAACATGCAAAGTGACACAATAATTAATAAATGAGATCGTCCAAATTTATAGATAAAAATTTGGAATATAATATTCCAATTCCTTGTTCAATTTAGACTAATAGCATATACAATGCTAAACTCAAGTAAAATTCTAAAAATCATAGGTGTTAAGTATTAAATATGAATCTTAAAATTTTTTCTATCATATTTGGCAAGATTGAGATTTTCTACTGCAAAGTCTTCTCCAATGCAACACTCAAGACTCAAAATATTTTCTTATGTGTAATTTATTATTGGGTTTTTAAAATTAAAATTAAAATGATCAATTTATTAAAAAAAAAACTTATTCCGCCAACAAGAGAAAAACTTTTCATTCCCGTTTTAATACTAGTTGTGTTTATTCAAATTTATTTTAAGAGAGAGAAAAATAAGTAGATAGGATTTTTTTTAACATTCATTAGTTAAATATTTTAATGAACCAATTTTAAATTGACATTTTTCCCTTTCGTTAAAGCATGAACATATATTGTATGCAAACTATCAATTTCTATAGATCATGCGTATGCCGTATAGTTCATTTGTTTTAAGTTAGAGAAATCACATGAATTTAATTGATGTAAAGTTTGAAAAAATTATTGTTAAAACAAATTAAGTATTTAATTTGTATTTTTACCTGAAAGTCGAATCTTCAGAGAAATATATAACTCCAATAAAATAATGAAAAAGGTGGAATAAGAATAGAAATATAATAAAATTCATTTAAAGATAATTTAATTATCTTATTTTTTAATAAAAAATAAAAGAAAAATTGAATTAAATAATAACTTGGCAATAAAAGAAAATTTGAATTAAATAATGACTTGGCACTTTAGAGATCCTGAAGACTACATTCCAATTTCAGAGTGTCATCTTAAGAATCTCCAAGATCACAAGTGCCACCTCATTGCCACATCATTTAGAGATTTTTCTTAAGATTTACATTGGAGATGATTTTAACAAAAATCTGAATATATCATATGTGGCACTCTAAGTATTAGAGATTACGTTTAACATTGGAAATGCTCTAAACTTTCAGGGTAAATGGCAAATAAGCTCATGACAAGGGCACTTAATTAAAAGAAGGACATCCAATTTTTTTGTCTTTCAAATAAATCCAGCTCATTCAAACTTATTTGCAAATAAGGAAAATCCTTCTATATATACCAAAATTACCCTCAATTCATTGAAACCCAATTCAACTCCAATTTCATGATTTACACCTCAATTTAGCCAAATTATATCAATTAACCAATTTTAACCCTAATTTCAATTTAGCCAAATTATATCAATTAACCAATTTTAACCCTAATTTCAATTTCATGGCGTTAACTTTTTTTTTTTTTTTTTTTGAAAAACTTTTTTTTTCCCTAAATTTTTTTCCGGCCGGTCAACTGCCGTTGACCGCCGGGTCTCCGGCGTTGACTTTTTTTTTTTTATAATTTTGTTTTTTCTTAAAAAAAATATTTTAATTAATATTACTATCTTGGCTGCTAAATTACTGTTTCCGGCAGTTATTTAACTGTCGGAGACATTAATTTAACTGTTAATTGACTTTTTTTTTTAATTTTTTTTCTTTAAAAAAATTATTGTAATTAATATTACTGTCTTGGCTCCTAAATTACTGTCTCTAATAGTAATTTAACTGTCTTAGACAATAATATTAATAATATTACTGTTTGGAAAAATAATATTCATAATATTATTGTCCCAAACAGTAATATTACTGTCTGAGACAGTAATTTAGTAGCCAAGACAGTAAATTTCAAAAAAAAAAAAGTCAACGCCGAGATCGGCGGTCAACAGTGGTTGACCGGCCGGAAAAAAATTTCAGGAAAAAAAAAGTTAAAAAAAAAAAAAGTCAACGCTGGAATCTGGCCGGAAAAAAAAAACCTTTCAGAAAAAAAATTATTTTCTGAAAAAAAAAATTGGGGGGTTAATGTGATATATTTGTTTAAATCGGGGGTCAATGTGTAATATTAAGGAAGTTAGAGCATAATTGGTGAAATTAATAAGAATTATATTATGGAGGGTAATTTTTACTAAAGACATGGGAATGAGTTTAATTAAGAGACTGTTTTTTTGATGGACCAAAATGCATTTAAGTCCCATGTGATGGGTCTTTTTGCCGTTCGCCCAAACTTTCAACTGTTTAAAGAACAGGTGACCAATGGCAAACTTGTAGCTACTTCTCAACCTCTATTATATTAAAGAAAATAAATTGACGGTTCAGTCTATGTTTAATTATATATATAGTATGTACATGCAAAATTGGAATATTTCAATATAATCGTGACAAAATTTAATTTAGACCGAAAGTATTCTTCGTAGATTTTTGTTCTTCGTATTCTATTCGAGAGTTTGAGACACAAAATAATGTTTGTTGTACTCGGAATTTTGAGTATTCATAGTCCGAGTTGTAGTCGTTGTATCTTGGAGACAATTGTCAAATAACCGTAAACACGTAATATCTGTTGGGATTTATGCACGCACCTTACGCAACGGAAGTTCAAAATTTATTTAACATGCACCTATAGACAATCTATCAAGCATAAAGAAGAGATCATGCAAAATCGTATTATATGTTCAACAATTTAAATCTAAACAACTAGCTCGCAAAAAAATATATATATAAGAAAATAAATTAGAATCAATTCACTTACATGTTGTTATGTCCTCCGTTTTTTGTGGTCTTACTGAAGTCTTTGTGGGAACAATTCCAAATCGCTTTCTGTTAACTCGGAATTGGATTTCACCTTGCAGCAAATTTTCCACCAAGGGTTAGTATCAGGCTTTAAGTCAAAAGCTTAGAAAATTGAAGAAGAAGAAAAATGAAGATAAAATCTGATTCTTCGTTTTTCACGTGAGAGGCGGACAAGATTATTTGTGTCCGAAAACTAATATTTGTTTTGGAGCTTATATAACCCTTGTGTAATCTCGAATGACTAAAAAAGTTCTTGTGTTAAGAAAATTAGCATAAATCCCCTATATTATGTTTCACAAAGCGAAGCACCCCTTATTTGAAAATGAGTTGTTAACTTAAATGAAATGATTAATTTACCCCTACTTACAGATAAAGCAAATACCCCCTCAACACAATATACAGGAAAATACTCCTTATTTCCAATTTGGATCGAAATGTTTTATATTCTTTTTTTATAAGGGAAATTAGAGAAATTCATGTGATGTAAGTAATAATTTGAGAAAACTCCTTTTGCCTTACATATAGTATTCCTCACACATTTACATTGTCCAATATACCCTTCCAAACTCTAATTCAATTATTCTTTTCTCTCTCCATCTTTCTTCCATCTAATCTTTTCTCCATTTTTTTCTCTCTTCTCTCCCATTTCTCTTCTCAATATCCAGATCTCACCATTCTCCCTCCACTCTCTCCAACCACCATGGCCTACTGTTGCTCCTCCGCCCCTCCACTTGTTGGGAATCGGACACGTGTACGCAACGGAAAACAAAAATTTTATGCGATTTAAACATATTTAAAACACATAAACACATTCCCGATAATTGAAAACAATTAATTGCGTACCTTTGCGCTTCCAGCGAAATAAAAAATAACATACATGCTGAATTACTTAAATCGAAATTAAATCAATTAGCATGCTCGCGTTTAAATCAAATAATCATGGTTGCAATAATAAAAACAATTTCATGTAGACACATAAAATCATACAAGTTTCTTATTAAAACGAACATGCATATATTAATTTAAACGAAACCGAATCGAACGATAATGGATTCGAAACTTTACCTCTTGAAGCGTGAGGTAGGTGCACTAAGCGAAGCTAGATTGCCACGGAAGCCAATCCGTGCAATCCGGGGCAGCAACGACGAAACGGCAGCAGTGGCTAGGCGAGCTACGGCGGCGCGTGTGGCTTACGCGCTGTCTTCGGGCGGCGCGTGGGGTTGCATGCGACGTCGGCTCGTGGGGATGCTCCTCGATTCTTCGATCTTCAGTCTTCCTCCTCTCGAATTTCACCTATATACTTCGATCTACTAAAACGTGGCACTAGACACGAAGTAGTTAGAATAAAACGGAAAGAATAAAAAGAAAAAGATCTACCACGATTAATCGCCCAAGGGGAGGTCGATTCCGGTGAGTGGACGGCGACGGTGGCGGTGGTGGCCGCAGGGAGGGAGAACGGCCGAGAGAGGGAGCGGCTAGGGTTAGGTTTCGTGTGTTGTTTTTGTGCAAGACCTATAAATCAAGTATTTATAGTGTCTTGCATAAAACCCTAACGGGCTTAAGTTGGACCGGGCCCAACAGCTTAAGTTCGTTAGTTCTTTTACTTGCTCGTCTCGCTCAATTCGATGATCGGAAAATTGTAACAATTACATTTTCGGAATCATTATAATGTCCTCGTCATTACGAGCGCCAATGCTCAATTTCCAACTTTTCAAAAGTGGAAACCCTAATTCATTGCACTTTCTAAATTTGGAAACTTCCCGATTTAGAAAGTCCACTAAGATGTTCGCCTAATCTTTTCCTTTTCTTATTCTCATTCATAATTACAAATTACGAATGTTGGACCCAATCATATTGACTTCCAATCATGCAAAGATAAACCATTTTTACCTTTGACCGTTCATTCAAAGATCTCATGTGCACGAGCAGTGTGACCCTCGATGGTTCAGGTGTAAGCTAGCCGTGGGCCCACAACCCTTTGTGGTCAAAACTCGTCCCTTAGAGTTACAATTAAGATGAAGCTCGTTTCACCTTAATCACCCAACGAATCAAGATTGGCATCTAGCAGCTACGCGTCATGATTCCCTAGATACAAATGGAGTGCCTGCAAGAACCTTTTGATATAATTAGCGTACAGTACGATCCCTTCGATTCATATGTCCCGATTGAAGTAGAGGCATTGGTTCATCGAGACCTCTTTATTTGTTCAATGGCCGTGCGATCGTTCTAAGTGTTGTAATCGTTACGTGCATGTTTTAGAGAATCAAATTCTCTAATCATCACTTAGTCAGCTCTGGCCAAAGACTTAGAGAGATTACAAACTATGAGAACACACAGGACATCCAAGACTATTCTAGCGATTGAATCCCCGACTACAATGCACAGACCTCCCACTAGATTTCGGACTGCACGAACACTGGCCCTTGGGGTGGTCCTCGGTGGAACTCAGGATAGGTCACGATACAGCTGGTCCTCTAGTGAAGTCACGGTGATGTCTAGGTCATAAGAACTAATGGTGTACAACTATACCATAGATATCTCTACTCGATTATTGGGAACCACTTAGAGATTTCTAGGGTGAGGGAGTTTAGTGAGCTCGTCAACTTACGAGCACCCACTTATGCATGCCGATATCACAATACCGTTTACTGATGAGATGCCGTACACATACACTAAGTGCTAGTCTCTTAATGGGAAATGTCAATATCCTCATTTGTGGCGTAACCCTTCGACTAGGAACACGTTTGACAGTTATGATACTTAAGTAAAAATCTCACGATCCTAACGATCAATTACTAGTACTTGTAATAACTGTAAGGACTATATCTATGCTTGACAAATGGACAAAAATATAGAATGCCAAGGTGTTTTATCATTAATACGAAAAATGTTTGTTTTTCACCATAATAAATATGAAAGACCACAACCACAAGTTGGCTTGTTGGTCACCTACTCTAACACCACTACCACCCCCATCTCTCCACCCGCACCACCCACCTTCTGATTCCAATTCCGAGAATAAACTAGATGATATATTGTGACGGAGGCGGCGACACCATTCATCTTACTATTTTAAGAACTTTTTTATTATTAAATATTTATTAGAATTCTCAATACCCTGTGCATCGCACGGGTGAAGTACTAGTGATAATATAAAAATCGGATTTTGTGGATAGAATAATGAAACCGGTCAAAGGCCTTAATTAAAAACGTGTGGAAATTGTTATAAGCTTCCAGAAAAGGATTTTCATTGAATTGTAAAAACCGTGGAAATGGTGTCATAAAAGGAAAGTAAACCGAATTGAAAGAAATGAAAAGAATGTGCGGCGGAAATTGAAAATATAAATTCTATCTTCGTTTTATATAGGGTAAATTACACCTAAACCCCTGAAGTATGCTAAAATAACTTTAAAGTTTATATGGTATCGATAATTACAACTATCCCTGAAACATTATTAGAAATTCTAATGGGATAATGTATAGGAAACGTTAGTCCTATTGATTTCTAACGGACTATTTAGTCCATGAAGTGCTGGAGACAATATAAATATATATATATATATATATATATATATATATATATATAGAGAGAGAGAGAGAGAGAGAGAGAGAGAGAGAGAGAGAGAGAGAGAGAGAGAGAGAGAGAGAGAGAGAGAGAGAGAGCGATGGATCGTATAAAAGAACCCATAACGAAAACACACTCACAAAATACACACACACCAATAGTTGGGGAGAGATCTTTAGGGAAGTACTGGCAGTTGACGGCGGTGAGCGGCGTGTGGTGGCGAGTGGCGTGCGGCGGCAAGCGGAGTGGAGGTTGTTGACGGAGGCGATCGGCGTGCGGTGGCGAGGAGCGATATACGGCGGCGAGGAGGTGGCAGAATGGCGATGGATTGAGAAATTTTAGGGCCGAAATCTGAGAGAGAAAATTTTAGCGATTAAAATAATATTTGACTTTTTTTTTTTTGAGAAAATTATTTTAGTATTTAATTGGGTTTTGATTGGATCCAATATGACCCTCTTCATTTTTTGGTTAAATTTTCAATGGATCTAAAGTGGATCCATATGGATCCAATTTAAAAAAAATTCAACTGATCCGATCCGATCCGATTTATTCCAACTAGATTTAATCTAAAGTGGATCCATGTGGACCGAATCGGATCCATGGAACCGGATCCAAATTGCCACCCCTATACCACAGGGACCTTAAAAGTCATTTTAGCATAGCTTAGGGGTGTAGGTGTAATTTACCCTTTTATATTATATAGATGGGTAAATTACAAACACCCCCCCTGAGGTATGGTCAAATTACAAAAACCCCCTCTTGTTTGGATAATTACATCTACCCCTCAACTATGATTTTTTCTTACACATCCACCCTTATTATGCCATATTCAATATAATCATCTAGATTCCGTGGAATGTGCTCTAGTTTGTATTAGTTTTGTGTAAAAATACAGTTTCCGATGCACCACAAACTGATATACACAAGCTAAAAATCACATATTATGATCATCTTACTTCATAATGTAGAGTTTGAATGGTATAAAACGGGTACAAAAGTGATAATATTTCATATAATCTCGAAGATTCCACTAAATTTGAAGAGCTGAGGGGGGTGGTTGTAATTATCCAAACAAGAGGGGTGTTTTTGTAATTTGACCATACCTCAGGGGGGTGTTTGTAATTTACCCTATATAGATAATAGATAGAACGGAGCGGGAAACATTTTCCCCAAAACGCAAAATTCTCTCATTTCTCAGCACCTTAAAAAACCTCTGATCCAAAATTGATGGCGAGAACGAAACAAAGCGCCCGAAAAGGCTCTCGCAAGAAACCCTCCGGTGAGAAGCATTCTACACTAACTAACTCTCTGTGCTAAATTAATTTTGTTTTCCTCTCTCTGTATTTTTGGAACCCTAACCATTTCTTTTTTTCCTGGTTTGAAACCGAAGCTGCAGGAGTTAACCCTTCAACTTCCACTCCTCAGCCTCAGGCACGGCGGAATAATCATTTTTTACAGATTCCAAGTACTTTTGATTCTTCGTTACGCTTTCGGTATTTCTAATTCCTTAATCTTACCTTTTTCAATTTCTTTATCAGTCCACTCCGAGAAGAAGCCCTCGCACAATTGCTACACCAAGTTAGTTTCTCTTTATTTTCAATTATTCATTTTCGTAATTTGGGTGTTTGTTTAATTTCGGGTTCAATTTAGGAAGTGCCGAGTGATGTTTTGTGTTTTTTTTGTTTGTTTTTCCAGCAAAGAGTGATGGAAAAGTACGGAGAAGGCGTAAGCCAGGAACAGTCGCTTTACGTGAGATTCGGAAATATCAGAAGACCTGCAACCTTCTAATTCCTGCTGCTCCATTCATTCGAACTGTAATATTTCCAACCTACGACATAGTTTATAACTTTAAAGTCACATTTTGTGGTTTGTTGGTATATGATGCCTAGCAATTAGAATCCATGTTTATAGGGATTTAATATGCAACGGTGTGTTTAATTAACTAGTCAGTTGGGACTGCAATTGTTGTGAAATAACAACCTAGTATCCATTTTTGGAATATCTAGGGTTCGAAGTCATTGAATAGGTAAGTTGCCGAATAAAGTAGCATAGGCGAACATTTTACTAAATTTTTTATGAACTACCCGTGTCTAGTTCTTGTTGTAATGTATATTTGGAGGTGGCAGTAGGTGTCTCAGTGTCCAAGAAGACTCCCCATTCGTTAGACTTCTATTATTGGTGGAGTCGATAAATAGTCTTTGCAAAGTCTTTAGACTAACTGGCGAGCTTCGTATTTTCCTAGTTGCAGCGTTATTCTAGAAGGGGAAGATTAGACAAACATACACTGTTTGCTTATGATCACTTAAAACCAGCAGACATGCAAATTTTGCAATGTTTGTTAGATGCAAGATGGGGACTGGTTTTCCTTAGGATTGAAATTTTGATGTGCCTATTTCAATTCATTGTCTGCTGGACCATTCACTTGTGTAGTTTTTAACTGTATAATGAGTCGGGATCTTTTGCTTGTGATGTAAATACTAGGCTACGGCATATTCACAGTTGTCACAGCTTACTACATCATTGTTTTGCTATTATAAGTTATGACTGCTTTTTCAGTATGCTATAGTTTTTTTTCGAAAAATTAGTTCGTACATCTTAACTAAGGCATCTCACTTCCTAATTAACTATTTTAGATCCAAAAAGCTGATGTGCGCATTACCTTTCTTGAACCGCCAACAATTTCCCAAATGGCAAACTGAAAGCAATGTCCTAAGTATTGGTTTCTTGACACACCAACTTTTTCCCTCTGCTGCTTCCTCTTTTGTTTACATTTGCTCATAGAATAGTGCGTTCGTATATTATTCACGACTGAGTTAACTAGGTCGAGGTTTTCTGGTTTTGCAGTGAGTTGTTTAGTTGAGAAGCTTTATTCGAAATATCAATTATTATTATTATAATTGGACAACAGTATACATTATTGCCTCTTATCATGTTCAGTAGCATGATTTTTATCTAGTCACTTTTACTTCTTACAATGTTGTTAAAATAACCATTTACCAGAAAGTTGCACAGTTTTGGAAATATCTTGTGCATGTTGTCCACTAGTTTCTCCTGAAAATTTGAACAACATATTCTCCGTTTTAACACAGGTAAGAGAGATCAGCTTCCACTATGCCCCAAGCGTTGCACGATGGCAAGCAGAAGCCTTAGTTGTCATTCAGGAGGTATACGTCTCCTAAAAAGATCCACTTTTGTTAGAGAATGTGTTAGCATTAACATCACATTTGCAACTTTATTGTCTAGTTTGTTCCCTGTTATATACTTATGTCTTTATATTTTAGATATGTGAATGAGCATGCTTTGAATCGCTTGTTCCTGCGAAAGTATTCTGTGTACCAGACATGAAATCTGAATTTGAAGGCAATATTAAAATATCCTCCAAGAAACTGTGCTAGTAATTTTGTTTAGAAATTCCTACAACGTGAATAACCTTCTGACAATTTGTTTTAATTCTCGGACCAAATAGTTAAGATTTGTGATTTTCATTCCTGATAATTACCTCCATTTCATAGCTAATGTACTGATCATAATTTTGGATACCATCTGTTGCTAAAAGGTAAAAACAGTCGTCGGTACGTTATTCAATATCTTGGCCTTATGGTCCAGATTAAAAGCTACACCCTCTTTGTTCTTTACTGTTGTAACTAATCCATATGTATCCATACGAAGGTTTGTTAACTTTTTCCGGCTTATTTTGAAATTGTTATAACACTTCAGTTAGTTTCTTGCAAAATTATCTAAACTTTTTCAATGCAAACCATCCATTCAGTCTTTCCTTTCCCCTCATCCAAATTAGGCAACCAAATTCTCTTGGACTCGATTCCATCGCCTTACTATAACTTTCTTGCATGTCTATTATGTTTCCAATTTTCCCTTTCGAAGGCTTTGCCGAGCTTTTGTGTTCAGATAATCTGCATTATACTATTTGCTTGATCCTCAGAACATATTCTTTCCATTAGTGTCCGATTAAAAAAGTCAAGGATAAGGATGTTTTGAACCTTCCATTGTCAGATCTCTGTTAAAAAAATCAGGCATTTTAGCTTATAGAACTTGTTGTTGCCTGATGAAAGTATTTCAAGTTGAAGAACATACTATTAGCCTAATTTTGCTGTTTCTCACCATTGTTAGCATATTATCTATTTCCGATTGCTGTTCTAGGCTGCCGAGGATTACATAGTTGAGTTGTTTGGAGAGGCTGTACTATGTGCCATTCATGCAAAGCGCGTCACGCTGAGTAAGTTCCACTTCCTTTTTTTATTGTGTTTAGTTCTTGGTTAATTACAAGTAGCATTCACTACCTGCAACTGCATTTTCTTTACACATGGTCATCCTATCTTATTTCATTTTAATGCATACATGTGAGGATCATTGCAAAGTCTGCACTTTCAGGTGGTTCCACAATAATAAATAGCCTGTAGTTTAATTTGTTTAATTGTTGCTCCCGTATTAAGAAAATCGATAAATGTAGGAAATGACTAAAATACCCTTATTCGTTTATTGTTTCTCAACATAGTACTCTGTCCCCACTGTCTCCAATGATATTATAAGCTTCGCATTCTATGCCTGCATTTTAGGTGCTGAGATTGTGACCTAGTTCTTGTGCTTATTGTGTCTCGTCCACCTCTTACTTATTAATGTAACTCTAATTCTTGATTTGTTATTACTAATTTGTCAGTGAAAAAGGATTTCGAGCTGGCTCGGAGAATTGGTGGGAAAGGGCGGCCATGGGGGTGAGAGTGATTACTGCGTCCATTAATTAAATAAAATATATGTGTTTTTGCCCTTGCCGCTATATTAAGTAGGCCACGAAAGTATCAGATGCTTTCTTTAAGACTCGCGCAAAACGTCGTTCTTTTGTCACCTCCGCAAATCCTGTAAAGAGCTTGTGTCTAGTGAAAAACCTAAAATCCTTATCCTTTCAACTAGTAGGAGTTGAACTTAGACTTTCTTGTGACTTAGACTAATTCAAGTTTGATCTATTTTTTGTAAAGTCCGTCCGCCGCTCGAACTAAAATTAGAACAGCGTATGATTCTATCTGAATGTTCGATCCGGATTGCTATTTGCAAACATCTGTTCGTATTTTTCAATATCGCATCACTTTGCATGTTGAGTTTTTCTTGAATTTTTTTTTTATTGAGGCTAAGAATAACAAATTTGTCATTGGTACATTCTCTGGAAAAAAATGAAGAAAAAACTAAAATCTAAATTTAAACTAGTCGACGTTTGATATATTCCAATTTTGCATAACAAAAATTAAATAAACAGGCATTATTCCGTCCCTTTACATATTATTGATGACTAGTTTTTTGATCTTTTTAACTGAACTTTAGAAAAACAATTGTGTCACTAATCTTTTTTTCTTTGAAAACAAATGAAATCTAAATTTTGTACGACCTCACGCGCTACCAATGTCGGACCATTTAAGTGGTGGAGGGGTTGTGACCCCCAAGAGTAAAACAAATCTTAGGTATTTTACTATTTTTAAGTAATATTTTATAAATAAGGGCTCTAATCCCCAAATGTTTTGTAAATATCGAATTTTGTAATTATTTGAAAAACATGATAACACATATTGGGATTATTGTACTCGTTTGCATATTCATCGTCAAATTGTTCGTTAGAATAACCATCTTCACCCTACCAAATTAGAAAAAATAATAATTAGTATATTAATAATACTAAGGAATAAAGTAAAAAAAAAAGAAAAAAGAAAAAAAAAAAGAAACTATACCCTAGACTCCCGTCCTCTAGAGGACGGGTACTTAATTTGTTTTTTTTTTTTTTTATACTCCATGTGCTGCACAACACGATCACTCCCTTCAAATTTTTTTTCTTCGATTTTACCATGTAAAAGCAATCTCGATTGGTCATCGAAAAAATTGTTGTTGTTTGGTTTCAAATTTGTCGAACGAACTTCAAATTCTAAGTTTTCGACTTTTTTTAGTTGAGAGAGTTTCGATTTTTTTTAAAAGCTAGAAAATTGACAAATGAGAGTACTGCAGCAAATAAACCAATTTCAGTAAAAACCACACTGCAATTAGCATTTCAGTTTCCATATTTGTGTGTGTGTATATATATTTACCATTACGAATTAAAATAGTATAGTTAAAACTTGTACTAAGTATTTACTTTGCATTTGTTCATGAATTCCTCTGAAAAAATCGAACAATGTCTCGAACGCTAATTTTTTTAAACCTATTCACTGATGTATTATTCTGAAAAAATAAAATCAAAATCGTCCCAATTATAAAAAGTCTTGGGTCCACGGGTCCACCCAGAGCGCAACCATTCACTATATAAAATCGGGTGGTAGAAAATGCACAAATTCTAAGTTGACGGTGCAGAAATTCAACACACACAAGCGCAACAATATTCGATTATGGTAAGGCCTCTGCCATGTGGATCATTTGATTCCAAACCATAACAACTAATTTAAATTCGATCGAGGATTGAAATATTCCGAGTTCGGATTTAAAGTTAGACAATTAATTAGTCATTGTTATGAGTTGATTATTTTTTATCGTTTTAAATGTACAAAATCCTTCAAGATGCCAACCCAATTCTTAAAAAAGTAAATAAGGAATAAAAAAAATAGTCTTATTTAAAAAGAATCTTTTGATGACAAGGACTAAATAATAGTACTCTCAATGAATGAATATATTGATATACATCAAGCTTGTTGCTAACAACTTACATAGAGTTGGACGATCAAACATTACTGTATCACTTTTGCGTGTTGTTGAGTATATATTTTTATATTTTCCATTTATTCGAGCTTCAGAACTACGAATTTTTCGCTGGTCCTGTAGAAAAAAAAAACAATTAAAATTCGAATTTATTTTGATCGAAGACTGAAACATTCTATTTTTTTTCTTACATAAAATTAGATGATCGATCTTTTGGTAGCATACTAAATCCGGCAACGATTGGATCGTCATTTAACAAATTCCAGAAAGCCCCCAACAATCTGAAAACAAATAGGTGAAAAGAATAAATCTCTATATATCTATAGTGAAATTTGTGTAGAAGAAGAAATATGGTAGTTATATGCATGCAGGTACAAATAGCTGGAGAAGTCGAGCCACAATATTTTCAAAAAGTGTGGATTATTCCAAGATTTCTCGAAAACGGTCAAACAACAAGAAACAGACACACACACACACACACACACACACACACACACACACATATATATATATATATATATATATATATATATATATATATATATATATATATATATATATATATATATATATGCAGCATCAATCTTGCAATTCAGACCTTCTTTTCTCCTTAGAACAACTAGCTGTCTACACATAAAGAAGTTCGTACACGTTTTATATTTATTTCCTAATAACACATATATATTTGAGAAAAAAAAATGCAATACTTTGAAAACTCGTTTACCGCAACCAAACATTATGTTAATGAACCATAAAGCACAAAAACAGAGGCTTTATCGAACCGAATAGCCATCTGAAATAGATAATAGAAATCAATTTACGACTGATCTATCACCTTCCAAAACTCTGCAACGGCTACATACGAAAAAAATCATCTTATCGATCATTTCATTCAAATAAGTTTGATACCCTCTAGCTACATACTTGCCAAACTAATTCAATGATTTAAAACCCATTTAAAAAGCCAAAGCACGACAGATATGCTTGATATCCGAAAGCACCCAGTAGTACGAAAAATAGTGACTTTGTTTAGACGAAAACTTGTGAACATAAAACGGGCAGAATTTGTTTAGAAACATTTTCGTATAACCGGTCAACACAAACACGGAAAGTAACAATAACAGATTAATTCATATGTATTGACAAAAAGCTTCAACATACCTTTCATATATACTCTGCTGCTTTCAGGCAAACGATCACTTCCGCTGAACTAAACTTCAGCGAGTGCAAGGTAAGAAGTAGCAATTCTTGCTAATTCAATGTAATCATAAAACATCCGATTCACTGCATAATGATAGTTCCTTTTTTCCGACAAGTCAAGAACCGATCGTGGTTTTCACAAAACCTTCAGGCATAAGCCGTTGCGATTCTATCTCGCTCCACAAATCCACGGTCAAATCTCCTTTCCCACTTTTTTGAAGTCCGTCAAAAAGAGAAGATAACGTATCCGAATCAGGAGCAATAGCTCTCCCCATCATCTCTCTCAACATCTGTAACGCTCCTTCATAATCGCCATTCTTAAGAAACGCAGATATTATCATCTTAAACGTTGCTCCATTGGGCCCACACCCACTCCGCACCATGCTTTTGTATATTTGAAAAGCACGGTCAGCATTTTCTCTCACACACTGCCCTGTAATAAGAGCAGCAAATGTCGACGAATTCGGCACCAGCTTCTCCTTATCGAGTTCTTTAACCATATACGCAGCTTTCTTCGTTTTACCCTCCTTGCACAAACCCATGATCACAGCATTATAAGTCAAAATATCGGCCTTTACACCACTCGCCGACATCTCCTCAAATAGCCGAATCCCCATCTCGCTATTCCCAGTTTCACTGTAACCACTTATCAACGTGTTGTAAGTCACAGTAGTGGGACCCACATTCACACTTCTCATTTCTTTGAAAAGCTTATTCGCTTCGTGCAATTTCCCCTCCTTGCACAAAGCATTCATAAGTGTGTTGTACGTCACTTCGTTCGGTCGAACCCCGTTCTTCTCCATAGTATACTTGAGCTTCAAACCACTGCTCGAGAGTCCTTTACTACAGTAACCCGCTATCATAGTATTGTAAGAAACCACATTACGAACTAACCCTAATCCTTCCATTTCCTTAAAAACCTCAACCGCCGTTTCCAATTTCCCCACTTTACAGTAAGCCCGAATAACCATATTTACGGTGTAGACATTCGGCGAAATTTTACACCGGCGCATCTCCTTGTAAAATGCCAGGACAATGTCGCCACGGTTCATACCGTTCAACGCGCTCAAGTATGCATTACACGACTCGATATTTGGATAAAATCCGTACTCCTTCATCCAACAGAAAGAATCGGAAGCATTCCGAAACTTGTTCATGTGCGCGTGGGTTTTAAACAAGGAATCGAAAGCACGTGGGGAAGATTCACACATCCTGTAAGAATATACCAAGGCCTCGAAAACCCTTCGCGTAAAATCCAAATCCGATACACCACCACCACGCGTCTCGATTGTTCTCCTGAGAATCGATTCGGCGGATTTAAACTTGCGATTCTTGGTCAAAATGTGGAGGATTATGGAAACCACATCGAGGGTGTTGAGTTGGGAATTGGTTAGGTCGACCCAGTTGAAGAGTTGAAGAGAGAGAACGTAATCTTGTCGGGTTTTCAGCAAAATGTGCTTGATTCGAAATGGGGTGAAACCGGAGGCTAATTTGTTGAGTTTATCCCATTCGGAATGAATCAAATGGCTGTGGGCTATGTTTATGAAATCCAAGTCTTGACCTTTGGCTGGAGGCATCGTTCTGTGAGGTAGTAAAATTGGGGTTTTCTTGTGATTGATGGGAGCTGAGAAATCAATTGGGTTTTTGAGGTGGGTTTCGGTTGTTGTGTTAAGGAATGTGGATAATCTCCGCAATTGTGAAAGATTCTTCATAGTAATTAACAACACAGGGGAAATTCGAGAGAGAGATTAGAGAGAGAGAGAGAGAGAGAGAGAGAGAGAGAGAGAGAGAGAGACTAACCGAAGAAGCTCGAATGGAAGAGAGTTAGTATACTATCCGCGCGGCGAGGGTTGTTTCTTCTCCGGCATGTTGTTCGATGAATAGGTGTTTTCACGCACTGGTAAGAGAGAAGGTGAGGTTTTAGAGAGATGGAAAGAACATACAGTGAGAACAACAGAAGAAAGAACATAGAGGATTGTGAATGACATAATTACCCTTCCAGTCAAAAAATTATAAATACTACAATTGACTAAGAATTATTTATGTAAGCCCCATAATGAAGTTTTTAACATTTTCAATTCCATCCCTGATCGTTTCAGAAACCCCCTAATGCAGAACGGAAGCACGGGGAATAATTAGTTGCAACGAATTATTAATCCGAAAGAACACAAGAACTTTGGAATCCACAAGAAAATTTGGAAGTTTTATTGATAATAAACGATGCTGAAAAGTAAACTCTATAGCAACTATTTATACTAATGACAACGGAAAAACCCCTAATCAAACTAGGAAAACGAAAAAATTATCAAAAAAAATAAAAACGAAATAACTCCTCAAACTAATAGAATACCGAAAACTAGAAATAACCCAATTTGCAGTTTTCAAATCCAAATTTTCTAGAATTAATTATGAATTGTTTAGAACTTTCCTAAAATGGCAAAAACGCCTATTTGAGGGCCTAAACGACCTTGGAAAAGTTTGGCCTCGCACACTTCCGCCTCCGTCGCCTCTTCATCAATCCCTCTCTTCCAATCAACCCAAGACCCATCACCAAAAGCAGGTTTCTTCTAGCTTTCTCCACCCCACCAAAAACACTACTAGATAATTCCCGTCGGAGATGGAATTGCAACAAACCCGACCTAGATAAGTCCTGCCGAAGTGTAGTAATGAGTAAATTGAACCATGAAACAGTATTGAAAATTGCTAGGATAAAAAGGGAATTGCATTGAATTCATAAGCTCCAAGTGAGCTGGATATTATAATGGAAATGTTAATTCAGATAGAAGTCTTTACATAGAAGAATCTCTACTTAATTACCTTAGCTAGTTATCATTCCAAATTGGGTAAGTCTCCTCCATAGCTTTCTATTTATAGTAGAGTTGGTAGCCCTAAATCCAGGTGGCATTTCCAGAGGGGTTTGCAGCTCACGTGCTTCAGGTACGTGTCTTGCAGTCTATTCATCGATATTAATAGAAAATGCATTTAACTAATAAAAAAAAGGTACTTTGTTCAGTCTTTTACTCCTCTCTTAAAACATTGTCACTTAACTTCAATTGCTAGCTCAAGTTCCCTAAATCGTGACATTACCTCTCTCTTACTCCAGCAATGCCTCATGGCTGTAGAGCAGGGTAATTTCGTAGCATTTTCTCGGCGTCTCCCCAGGTGGATTCTTCGCTAGGAAGGTGCTGCACAAGCCATTGCCTCACGACCGCGTTGTTTCTCTTAACTAATCGACGTTTCAACACATTCTCTGGCACGAGCATAAACTGTTTCCTTTCACCCATTGGAGGTATGACTTCAGTAACTATATCGCATTTCCTACCTTTCGTTTCAGTTGTGACACATAACAAACATGGTATATTTTTTCTATCTTGGGTAATTCCAATTCGTAGACGATATCTCCAATCTTCTTAGTAATTTTGAATCGTCCACAATACTTAGGGGTAAGTTTCCAAATGTGACTCCTTATGAGGCTCATTTGTTTGTAGGGCTTCAACTTCAAGTAGACACGCTCACGTTCTTGAAAACTCATATATGTCATGTTATGATCAACATACTTAAAGTGGATCAATGGATATAAGTAATAATCTTCTCGCTAAAACCCATAGTTGAGAAAATGGTGAATGAAATGTTGCACTCAGAGGTCATACAACCTAGCAATATCCCATTTTCTTCTTTAGTGCTTCTAGTGAAAAAAAAAATACAACCTAGAGATTTTATGTGGACTACATAAGGCTAAATGCCTTAACTACGAAGGACAGTTACCCAATTCCTCGTATTCATGATCTACTGGATGAATTGCGAAAGGCTAAGGTATTTTCCAAGATAGACCTCAGGGCAGGGTATCATCAAATCAGGATAAAACCTGAAGACATACCAAAGACTACATTTGTGATTTCCTCGGGTACTATAAGTTTAAGGTAATGCCCTTTGGCCTTAAAAATTCACCTGCCACCTTCCAATCCCTAATGAATGAGGTGTTTAGGGCACAACTTAGGGAGTATTTCTTGGTGTTTTTTGATGACATCCTCATCTATAGCTTGAATGAGGATCTGCACCTACAACATTTGAAAGACAACATTGGGGATAATAAGGAAGAATCCACTCTATGCTAATGCTTCTAAATGTAGTTTCATCAAACCCAAGTGGAGTATCTATGGCACATTATTAACCAGGAAGGGGTAGGGGTGGATCCGAGTAAAATTCAATGTATAAAAGAGTGGCATATTCCACAGACCATCAAGGTCTTGAGGGGGTTTCTTGGCCTAACGGGGTACTACATGAAGTTTGTAAGGAACTATGGGTGAATTGCCAAACCTCTAACTGTCTTATTAAAAAAAGGGTAATTTATGTGGAGTGAAGAGGCTACCAAGGCTTTCAACCAGCTTATTGTTAGAGTAGGTGACCAACAAGCCAACATGTGGCTGTGGTCATTCGTATTTATTATTGTAATAAACGAACCTTTATTCGTATTAATGATACAACACATTGGCATTCTATATCTTTGTCCCTTTGTCACAAGCATAGATATAGTCCTTACAGTTATTACAAGTACTAGTAATTGATCGTTAGGATCGTGAGACCGCGCGTGAGATACACGCGCCGCCGTGACCGTCTCGCCGCTGCTGCCGTCGCACCGCTGCTGCCCCGGATTGTACGGATTGGTTTCCGTAGCAATCTCGACTTGCTTAGCGCTCCTACCTCACGCTTCAAGAGGTAAACACACGAATTCATGTTCTTGATTCGTTTACGTTTAAACACTAAATATTCATGTTTGCTTTCGTATGATTTTATGTGATTATGTGTAATCGTTTTAATCGTTGCGAGCATGTTAGTTGGTTTAAACGCGAGCATGTTAATTGGTTTAAATTCAGTTAAACACTTTAGCATGTATGTTGTTTTTAATTTCGCTGGAAGCGCAAAGGTACGCAATTAATTGATTTATATTATCGGGCATGTGCTTATGTGTTTTAAATTCATTTAATTCGCATAAAATTTTTGTTTTCCGCTGCGTACGCGTGCCCGAAACCCAACATCCGATTCCCAACAGTGGTATCAGAGCTCGTTGCGCAATTAATTGCGTTCGTTTTAATATGCTATGATTTTATGCATGTTCGATTTATTAAAGTAGTGATTGTTGTATTATGTAATTGGGAGTTTTCGTAAGTTTAAAATATTTTTGAAATATTGTTTATAATTTTTCCAGCTTTAAAATTGTTTAAAATTGGAAAATCGGATCTGAAATTATTTTTAAAACATCGGTTTTTTAATTGTTTGGATCGAACCGGTCGAACCGGCCGGTTCGATGGTTGTGTGCGATCAAATTGACCGAATCCAAGTGGATTCGGGTCGGTCAGACCGGTTCTCGGTCTGACTGACCCGGCCCACTGATTTGGGTCAACTGGACCGGGCAGAACCGGACCGTTTCGGTCGGAACCGGTCAGACCGGTCGGCCGAACCGGTTCGCTGAAAAAAAAAAAAATTTCAGATTTCTAAAATTAAACTTAAAACAAATTGATTTTAATTTTTGGAAAATTATTTTCAATTAATACCAATTAGATAATCGAGTCAACAATCATAAATTTTAGTAAATAGGTGTTAGATTAATTAATTAATTTAAATTGTTAAATTGATTTCAATTAATAGAACACATATATAATATTGAGTATAGTTCAACTTAATTAGTAGTACCTCAGCATTATTTGAATGATTTATGCTAGTTGAGGTTCTATAATTATTTTGAAAACCCGATAATTAATTAATGTAATTAATTATGTAGTTAGGTCGTATGTTCCTCTTAGGACAATATGCGTTTCCATATACTTTTAGAGAACATAGATGTAGGAATCACATAGACCAATCCGAACCTTCTGATGAGATAAAAACTTTTGATAAAAATCCCCCATTCTTAATCTAATTAAGAATCATTTCAAGCTATAAAGAAAAACCCAATATGTTGAGTTATTTCTTTCCTTCTGCCAACGGTTGGATTATGTGTAGCCCTTTACTGTAGTGCAGTAAGCCGTGTTAGCGGGGAGTACTATGGTAAAGTAAGCTGTAATCCAATTGACATAGCGATGAAGGTAGCCATAGAAAAGGGTTATGTTGGATTAACGTTGTCGGCTAGATTAACTAGGGACTGCATTAGTTTGGCATAATCAAGTTCTATGAGCATCTTTGATTGGTAGGTTAGACTTGACACACGACGATTTTGATATTCGCGAGATTAACTTAGGTCATTATCAAGTGTGAGGAAAATTAATTTAGGGTCATATTGTGGATATGATTGATTGTGATCTACCTTTGGGCAAATATAATCGGGCTAGATTAACTACGGGTTATATTTGTCTATTGGACCTAAAGCCCATTAAGAAAAATCAGTTTTCTCGTTTGTCTACTAGAGGGAAGTGGAACTCGATAAAATTAGTGGGAGAACAATTAAATAACATAAGACCAAACATTTAATTGTAAACAATCATTTAACGCGAATCTCTAATAATCCTCTTCTTTATACCTCTCAGATAATCATGTCTAAGAATCCCATAATGTCAATCCTCGACAATAAACTCAATGGCCCTAATTACCTAGATTGGTTGCGTAGTATTAATCTTGTGCTAACCGTTGAGGGGCGTCTCTATGTTTTGAACGAGAGACTTCCCGCCATTATACCTGCCACAACGACTGATGCTGAAAAGGAAACTTATGAAGCATGGAAGAAGGATGACACACATGCTAGGTGCTATATGATAGCCGCCATGGAGCCCGCGCTTGCGAGGAAATATGAGTCTCACATGCATGCTTTCGATATAAAGGCTCATCTCGATAGCATGTATAGTGAGAATATTAGGGCATCGAGGTACGATGCAACAATGGAGTTGATCACGGCGAGATTGCGCGAAGGGACTTCGGTCCATGAGCACTGTCTCAAAATGATCACTCTCCTTG